TCTAGCCTTGAAATTCAGCAGTAATGTTAATTTGCTTTAAACATCGTATCGTAAAATTAATATTACTGAACCATGGCAGTTCATTTTTAGATCCTAATAGTACCAGTAAGTGGTCTTCTACTTGATAGATTGCAAAATGTGTTGTATTTTATCCTTGATTATGAGAACAATTTGATTTGCCTCAGCATAACTATTAAACAGTTATGGAAAGATTGATTGTAGTGGTATGAAGGATTTCACCATTAATGGTTTTATGAGAGAGATTCAGACTATAAACAGATTTCATGGCTATTCTTACCCAGAATATCTGAGGGAATCCCTTCCTACCCCACAACCCTCCACATTAGCTTGTCATGGAAATTTCTGCCAAAATAGAGATTTATTTGATTTTCCAGTGCTTCATATCGCAACATCTTGCTGTATTGCCATCATTATATCCGGAAGGACTTTGTTCATGGTTGCATAAAGTGCAGGGAACAAATGCCCATAATAAATACAGCCACAAGTTAAAAGTAGTACACGGTGAGCCTGATCCTGTCCCATGAGGGGTATCAGAGGATTTCATCCTGTTGGCTTTAGAGAGGATCTGTCCCAATAAATGTCAACAAATGAACTAATAAATGTCAATATTGATATGAGCTCTGCCATCTCTCTACCCCCAGCTCTTGCACACATCAGCAGGACCCAGGGCTGGAAGCCTATAGCTGTTGTGTGCCTTGAATTCAGGGGTGGAAATGCAGGGTCTGCACTTGGGCAGCCAAATCACATCCTATGTCCTCTGTTCATGCTGCTAGAACAACTTATTATGATACTAGACTTCCAAAGAATATATTAACTTCCTGACTCTCTATAGTAATTCCATACAGCTGGTTCAAATAAACATTCCAAGCCAGCGCATTTTTCATCTTGAAAAAAAAATAGCAATCCCAAAGAAGTTTTGTATTTATTCAGTGCTTACTGTCACTGCCTTTGACACCATCCACAAAATTAATAGTTTAAAAAATGGGAGTTACTCTCCAGGCCTTTGCACTGATTCTCTTTTGTTGTCCTTCATTTATTTTGTTGACTATTGCAGTCAAAATGAAAGGAAAAATTGCTCATGGCATTAATTTTCCTGAGTTATTGCTCTATTCTGCCTCACTAAAACTATATTGTTGTCTTTTATACTTTGAATAAAACGTAACTTTTTATTTGAAACAAAATCCATATACAGAATTCAAGTTGCTTTTGACTTTACCTTCTACAATGCATTGATGCAGGTACAAAATCATAACTAGATAACTATGCTATGCATATTAAATGTTTGCATGCTATTAAGATATATTATATTGTTTCTTCAATATTTCCTTGTCAGTTCATTTTTTAATATTGCTTTTATTGAAAGGACTGGTCAAATGTTAAGACTGAGAGCTTTAGGCATCAGCATCATGTATATCAGGGGTATTTTTTTCTGGATAAAGGTTGAAGGTTTGATTTTATTTGGCCAAACTCTTTTTTGTAAGTATATTTTTGTAGGTTGGCTACAGTATGAGCTTCAGAGAGAATGCACATATATTTTGTTCCAAATACTGTTCATCAGTAAGATAACCTTACCAGAGAAATTTGGACATACTGCAGCATGTTGGCCTTGCATTTCTATTTAATATTTTATTAAGCAACTTGCTTTAAAAAAACAAACAAATAAAAAAAATAGATACTCTAGGTTTCTCAGTTATATTATTATAATTTAAGCATTAATTATGGATTGTTTTAGATAATCCCATATGTGTTCATACTTTCTATTTTTTTTTCCTAATCTGATGGGTTATGCAGAAAAAAAAAAGTGGAATTCAGAGTTAGCCATATATGTGATACCTATTTGTAAGGATTTTTCAAAAGATACACACTGACTTTGATATCATCTTGTACGATTAACAAGTTCTGGCCAACTACGAGTGATGTAAATGAGAATGTGTCACTTATTTCAGTGGGAGCAGGAGCAGATGATGGTTTTTCATGATTACATCATACATAAAGAAGACAAATGTGTATGCAAGCCTTAAAATAATGCCACACCTACATTTTTGTGTGTTTTGTTATAGTCTGAATGAGTGGACAGTATGGATAGAAAGCTAACCTGATTATTCTGTTTTCCTCTTATAAGATTATTTTACAGAAACAAAGTTATAATTGACAAGCATAGAATCATTCTGATTTATACTGCTTTATGAATAAATATACACATGTAATGTTAATCTATGACTGGAATCTGCTTTTGCATTCAGGAAGACTTTTTCATGGTACTAGTTCAAATAGTCATGAAATGTTGCTTTTATCACAGATCTGTTCTTTACAATGTACAGATAAACTAAATCAATGCGTATTTCTGCAACTGGAAGATAGGGGGGCACTGTTAATTCTAGGCAAATACTCAAGGGCAGTCTGAACCCCCAAATGCTCTACTAAAGTCACATGCGTTTCAAATTAGAAACTTCTGTTCTCACCCATAAATGTCTCAAAACTTTCAACTTCTGATCTGCAAGTTTTAGTGGCTTGCATGCTTGCATATTGTAATAGCAGCCACTGGAATTAGTAGATACTGACCCTTGTGCCATACGACAGCATATATATAACTGTAACCCTGACCAAGTTCATGTGACTGAAGACTATGCTCCTGCATACTAGAACTTTATTAGAAAGGTAAAGGGGATTGATTTTGAATTAGTCTATGTTTATAAAGCACACTTATGAAAAGAATGTTAGATTTAAATCAGTTTCTTCCCATGCACATGGCACAAATCACACTGCTTTATAAATGCAAGAAAAACAAAAGTTGTTGTTGTTACCAATGACTGTTCATTTATCTTGTATGTTTCCAGCTTCCATTTTTTAAATTACTTGGGATATTGTTGCTTTGTAGTTTTTCTTTTGTTCTTACTGAATGCAAGACGCATAACATGACAAGCACTGAGCACGTATTTATGTGGAGCATTCAAGGAAATGGAGAATTATAAATATGGATGTTTGATGCAAACATATAACCACGACAAAGATATTCGTGCATGAATTTTTGGAAGTGACCAAATACAGCGTATAGAAATAATGTAAAAGTAACATCATAAAAATACAATCTACATAAATATTACAAAGTACAAAATACATTTCTAGTTCCAGGTAGAAAAGCTCTACCTGAAATATTTGGAGAGAGATGTGTCTATCCCTCAATATCCATTTTCCGTAAAGCTCTTTTAAATGTGAGAGAGGACAGAGTTTCCCAGCAGTTTCTTGCCAGACTTACAGTGCTGGCAACAAAGTGATTCTTAAAAAAACGGGACAGCCTTCACCCAGGAGTTGATCTCTCTTTGTGTTAATGGATTATATGGGCCAGAGGATGTGTGTGACTAGCCTGTATACAAAATGCTGCTGCAAATGCAGAGGAGAGCCCGTCGTGCAGGGGACTACTGCCAGCATCCCTCCGGTTAACGGAGGGATCTCAAAGCAGATGCTGAGGCCCACACTTTTATTCCCAAGTGGGAAAAAAGGTCAGTGCTTCCCTAAAGGTTGTGTGAGCTATGTCCCTGTTCCGGATGGCTTAGAGAAAAATTTGTCCCTTTTTAATTACTCCTAACATTTAAGAGTTGCTGTGCACTAGTAAAAATAAAGCAGTGCAGAATATAAGTACACAAATTTTTAAAAAAATCATTTTTGAAATGTAACTCCACCATAAAAGGTTGCGAGATTACAGCTATTAATTTTGGTATGTCCTATCCTTTAACAGTTCTTTTTCAAGTTGCTCCAACCTTGGGTTGGGGTAACTTTGCTTTGTGGTGCTCTGGAACAGCCTGGTTTTGCATACGCATGAACTGCTGTTTCTTGTTAAGGAAGACAGAAAGAAATGGCATTGACACCAGTCGTGCGCACACGTGCGGGTGTATTATGCATGTACGTATAAGGGTGTCTGATTTAGGCGCCCTCGGCACAAGGGAGTTCCTTGCCCTC